TCTTTTTGTGGGAATGGGTGGCAAATACAACTGTTAAAATCTGGAAATACAGGTTTGAATTCTTCCATATACCTAACAAAAAAAAAAAAAAAAGACTGATGTTAATCTTTAGTCCTATGCACAGAATAACAATACCATGTTTAATAGATTTCATCACACCTAGTAGGTTTTGCTTAAGAGTATGTCACAATCATTGTACTGAAGTTTTTCATATCATGAGTGGGAAGTGTGGAAGACTATGCTGAAGACCTATAGGAAGACCTGTGCTTATTTCTAACATCAATTTATTAATTCCATGGATTGACAGTCTTGTAGTTTTAGGGAAGAGTAAAAGAAGTAAATCAACAAAGTACACAATGAAACAATAATTATATGTTGCTAATAGTAGAAATTAACAGTTAAGTTGTACTGTTTTGTTAGTGGGAGAACTGAGAGAGAGCATGATCTGAAATTTTTGACAATAGCACTGATTCCCTGAGTTAGAGGGCCCTATTATGGATCATAATCCTGTAACATATCTGTTACATATAGCTCTTGGTTTCTGACAAAGTTTTAAAAATACCTATATGGCATGGTTCCAGATGAAAAGCTGTAGGATTGGTACTCAGACATTTTGGAAGCTCTACATATCTTGCGTCCGATTAAAAATACCACAAAGTCATAGAAGCTAGAAATGGGAAAGATTTGTTAAATCAACTAGTGCAATACTCCCTCATCTAGAATTATTCCCTACAGTGTATTATATAATGCTTTGTCCAGTTTATTTTTAAAGACTCAAACAATGGTTCTCCTACAATCTCTCCAGAAAGGGTTCTTTACAGGGTATTGAATCTTACTATTGAAAATTGTTCTGTACTCTTCAGCCTGTACAATCATTCTTATTTATTGTAAGAGCTCTGCAAGTACAGATAAAGACTGTTTAGGAAGTGGAAGATGATATTTGTCAAGTTGAGTCAATTTGTTTTTACAGAATCTCCTCTACGAAAACCCAGAAAGACCACAAAATATCAGTAACAAAGAAAAACACTGCCACACCTCCACACTTCTTTCTGCCTCATCTCTGTTACCGTAAAAATATGTCCACAGTCCCACAGTGTAGTGCTTTATTGGGTACAACTGCTGACATTAAATATTTGCTGTACTCAAGTCAACGACAAAATTTTAAATGATTTGAATAGATTCAGGATTTTATCCATAGTGTTCAGATCTCCAAAGTTTTGTAACTACAGGTAGGGGCATAATTTTCATTGTCATGGTTTTGTACCTTGTATTCATAGTAAATCGATCAATTCTTTTTTGCTACCCCAGTCACAGTGGAATAACTGGAGGTGAAAATATCTGTAAACTATCTATATCACGTTAAATGGCCTGAGATTATCTGTATGAGTTTGAATTTTGCCCTTTTTTTTTTTTTTTCTGATACAGTCAAGCAAATTCAAAACAGTACCGCGTGACTGTACATGGAATGATAAACATCAGGGTTACTAATGGCTTTTTTTTTAATATTTAAATTAGTATAGCAAGATTAAGGCAGGAATGCATTCTAAGTAAAACGGCAATTCAGAGAAATATAGTTCTCATACACAGACAATGAGTGATAACTAGCTCATGTAATAGAAAATGTTTAAGAGGTTAGCACTGTTGTGTTAGTACAGCATATAGCTGGCCTGTATTAAAAAATATTATTAATAAGAACAAAAACATGGAAAGTTAACAGAGTGTGTAGTGATATAAAAATATATCACCAAGTAACAGAAAACAGTACTTTCTAAGAAAACAATTAGCATGACTAAGTGCTTGGTTACCTGTCTTAAAAATTTTACTTCTAACATACTATAGATTGAAAGCGCTAGAAAAAAAAGTTGATGAAATTAATTTCCTTTTGAAGTTTAAGCTTGTTAAAAGAAATTTTTTATCATTTAGCTTAGAATAATTATGATGAAATACTGAAGGACTTCCATAAAAAAAAGATATTCCCAAGCAAAATTCATGTATTTTCCTTTGTTAGCCCCCTCACCTTGTACCCAATGACAAGTTATCTTTCTGAGAAATCTGTCTTCTCACAATTTAACTGATCAAGTGGTAAGTAAAATCTTTTTTTTTTCCCCTATACCAATAATACTAAAGTGTGGTTCAGCAAGGTTGCCAGAGTAGGGGTAGGAAGAGAGAGTTTTAGTGACCAAAGTGCCAGGGTTAATGGAACCACTCCAGAAAGTTCAGTATACAGGATGGTATCAGACAATGGTAAGTAAACCACAGTAGTCGTCTTCTTTATTTCTTGCTAGTATAGCACTAAAGTCAGTGTCAAACAATATAATATAATTGAAGCAAAGAAAATATTGAAATAAATAATAGGGTTGCCTGAAAATAAAAATGAAACAAACAAACAAACAACTCTCCTACCTCTCCTACAAACCCACAACCCATAGTCCCACAGTATGAAACTAATACATGACCATAGTTGTAATTCTGCACACACCTTATAGGCAAGAAAAGTCTT